GTGCACTCGAGATAAAAAGGACACCATGTATAGCCTGACGCGAGTTGATCCGGTATTCTATAGCATAGTATATAGCTACCGATTCGATAGAAAATAAAATAAAACAGAAGCTTGACGTAAAACGTAGAAAAATATCCGACATATCAAAAATCCAGGAATTAACAGGTATCGTTTAAATTATTTTCATAAAATAATATTCGCACAAAACTATCGAATCTATGGTAACTACGAATTACCATTTCAATATTTTTGTTAAAGGTTAATTATTTTTAACGGGTTGAAGATTCGAGATATCAGGATTGAAATTTTTGCGATTAAATTTCGTAATTTTGGAATAATTCAATGTAAATTTGGCTTCCTTCTAGATCCTTTTACACGGAGAATTTTTGTGTAAATTTTGGGAATGGAAATTTTTCGGTTAACGGTGGCAGGATAGGGAATGTCTGCTTCACGATTTCAAAAGGAAAAATTGTGGGATGCGAAGCGGTAAGTTTTCGGTTCCACAGACCCGGGACTCTAGAATGTAGGTCCTCAGAATTTAGGTAGCGGGGATTTAAGATTATATATCTTGGGATCCTGAAATTTAGCGTCCCAAGGATTAGCACTCTGGAATTTACGAGACTAGGATCCAAAATCCCTGGATTAAAGACTCTATAACACAAAATTTAACTCCTCGCTATTATTTTAACCTAGATTCGTCATCGTTATCCTACTTCCGGCTTAACAAGGCGTGCCAAAACATTCCCGACCTAGCTAACAGTTACTCTGTTAATTTGGAACGACAAGTTTCACTCGTTGTTTGTCTTTACGGTGCCTTCAACTTTCTAACACGCTTATCCAAAATTTCGCTTCAGATGAAAAATAATCTTTCCTTTTATTCTAAAAATAATTCACACCTAATATCTTTTCAGAAATTTTTTAGGATAAAAATTGCGATCCTGTTATAGATGGAGAACCATTATTTCATCCTCTTTATGCGATGATTGACTTCCTTCGCGTTGATTTAAGCTCTTTCCTTAAAGCCCTTTTACGCGACGATTTAACGATTCTCTGTATTCGTGCGATATAATATTCGCGGATATTAAAAATCGTTATCAAAATATTTTTTTTTCACGAATTGTTATCTGAAATATTCGCGAAGTTACGTACACAAACGGTATCCATAAAAAAAAAAAGAAAACACCATGCAATATACATACATATGAGAAATATAAAAAATTGGTTATGGCGATATTTTTTTCCAAAATTAAAAATTTTCATTTGACGTTCTCGTTAAAATGTTGTACACAATTGGTATGCATTAAAAAACAAAATACATTATATAAATAAATGAACACGTGATCGACTGATGGTGGATACCAAGAATCGATATTGTGATAGCATTTATTTAAAAAATCGTCACTCGAAGTTCCAGTTAAATTACGTAGACATTCGATATTCATAGACAAGCAAAATATAATAATAAATGCGATTCGTGGTCGATCTATCGATTATAAAAAAAATCGGCACAACGGCACTACGTCTCGCGAAAATCGTTTTCTGAACGCTCGCTTATGCTCTCGAAATGTCTGTCTGCAACGCATGATCCACGTTAATAGGCAATAGAGAAATGTCGCGACATCTTATGCCGCGTGCAGTTTCTACCGTTTCGTCGGATGAAATACGGTAACGAGTATGATTCAGGGTGTAGACGTAGGAGGGGGCCAAGGAGCAGGAGGGGCGGATGGCGAATGGTTAAATGGAAAGCGATTTAACCCCCTCGGTCCAGATTTATTTTGCAATTTAGCCTGACAGTATGCTGTTCATCTCGCGAATCTGTGATTCGCAACTTAAATAATTCATAGCCCCTAATACGAATAGTAATGGCGGCCGTTTAAAAGCCCCGTGTCCCCGTTGAAATATTCAGGTCGCGGCCGCGGCATTTTCCTCTACGCACGGTCCACGAATAAACGAAACCATAACTGTTTATGTGACGATTGAATTAACGATTGTAAATCAAAACGACGCCGCGAATATTTCAACCCGGCCAGGACGCAACGGGGTGGCTGGCCGACCATTATTTCGGATACCGTTTCTGACCAATCAGAGAAAGGAACCGTGGAAATAGGCGTTCACCGATTAGAGGGTTAATTAGAGAAATAGCGGGGAAAAATATTCGAATGAATTTTATGTTAATTTCTGTTTAGTGGTTGAGACCATCAAGGCTCGGTGTATGATAAATATTTTTGGAAAATATTCTGGGGTTGTTTTTATAACGCGTATTACTCGTTTACTACGTATTACTGCAACATGCGTTGCAACATTTTTATAATTGTATTTGTACGTCGTTTTTGTATTTATTTTTCCCAGGTGGTTAATTAAAGAACAACAACTGTGTGCGAATACCAAATTTTTCAACGCTTTTACTTCGTTTTTTATTTTATTAAGAAAATAATTATATTATATTCTCAATATTCATCGTTTTGATACTAGTTTTTCTTAGGAGGGTGGTGGAGTTGGGATTGGAGAAATCGAGGAAAGGAATTATTAGAACGCGTAATTTTTGGAAGGTTTGAAACCTTCGTGACTCGATGCAAAGGTGTGCTTTTGGAGAAATATTCCAAATGTATTTTTCCTATGCATATTATTCGTTTATTTTACACGTTACTGCAACACGCACGATATTACTACATTATGCTCACAATATCACAATAATTTTTTTACTTCTGTTTTCTGTATTCCTAATTAACATTCTCCACATTTACAAAAAGCAATTGATAATTTCAACGCATTTTAAAATAATAATATTCGATCATTTAATATAAATACATTTTTAATTCCAAATACTGCCTTGTTTATTAATCCATCGAATTTTAAATTCGACAAATATAAATTTTTCCGTATCCAATTTTCAATTTCACAGCATAGTTGCACATACTCCATCTTCCTCGAGCATACTTGTAGCTTAAAAACAATTAAGCACACAGTTGTAGATTTTGAAAATCAAGGGAAACTCTCGGAGCATCTGGAAAATTTCAACAACCGAAAGATCTACCATTTATCATTCAACCTAATTCGCTGGAGAAACAATTACGCTATTTCCAACACCCTCTGCTCCCCACCTACCCACCAGTAACCCGCAAAAGGACAAAACGGATGGAGAATAAAAGAACGAGAAATATTTCCCTCCCTCGTTGTACTCTGCCGAAGCACTCGCATAGTCCAGCGAAGGAGCATCGTCGGAAAAAGAATACAAACGGAAGGAAACGCTGTGTCTCGCGGCGAGACGCAGGATCCCTCGCAAACGACCCTTGAAATCTCGATCGTCCTGGTGATTCCGCGCGAAACGCTCGTCCCATGCGACGCGATTCAGCAGAATTCCAAATTGCTGACTGCCACCGCGCACTCCTGTTTCCTGTTCTCGCGGTTTTATCCATACCGGCAAGCCACCCCACAGCTTCCGGTTTACGCCGCGAACCACCGGTTGGCTTATCCTTCGGCAGGCCTGTCGTCCTCTCCCGTCCGCGATTATGCGTCATAATTTCCGTTTAATTGACTAATACCCCGGCCACGTTGGCCGACAACCGGCCGAAACGATAGCCTGTTTATCGGGTTATCGCGTAAGCGTGAGCATTATCGCGTTATTACAACCGGGTAAAACGTCGATCTCGGTCGATCTCGCCATCCGAGAGATCCGTGCTTCGCGAGCGTCGTAATTAAAATATGTTTCCGCTACGCAATGGTGCTCGGAACTTTCATCAAAGGATCGATTATTCGTTGACGAGAGAGGCTGCGATGTGGGTTAGGTTTGTCAGGAGTTAGGGGATGATGGAAGTTTTGGCTGATTTGCGTTTATTATTTAATGAATGGTACTTTAGTTGGTGGGACTATCGAGGGTGTTAAGATACTTTGCTCGTTGTTGTTGGTTACCGAAAAGCTTTTGCAACTTTATCCCCTCAGTTTTATATATTAGGTGAAGCAAAAAGAAATCCATTATTTTTACTACACCTAATATAATGAAAGACGAAGTGATGTTGGTCATCACCTGAATATTTCAGTATTTGTATTTATAAAAAGAAATTTTTGCATTCAATTTCATGCAAAAATAATGGAGTTCTTTTTACTTCACCTAATATTTTAATAGTATTCTAACGCGTTATTTCGTAGAGTTGAATCGAGATTGCGGATGTAGAATTATGCGTGATACATTTTGTGGCTGCAGATCAGGATGGCTAGTTTTTGGAAGAGTATTTTTTGATTTAGGTCTCTTTGTTCGTCAATATATTTCGAAGCATAACTCAAAGTTGAGTTATCTCAACGAAGACAGAAACTGTGCGAAATATTTTAGCAAGTTTTGGCTAATCTGTATTTACTATTTAATGAATGGTACTTTAGTTAGTTGGAGCTATCGAGGGTGTTAAGACACTTTGCTCGTTGTTGTTGATTACCGAAAAGTTTTTGGAACCTTACCTCCTCAGTTTTGTATATATTAATAGTATTCTAACACGCTATTTCGTAGAGTTGAATCGAGATTGCGGATGTAGAATTATACCTTTTCATGGCTAAAGATCAGGATGGTCAATTTTTGGAAAAAGAGTATTTTCTGATTTAGGTCTCTTTATTCGTCAATATATTTTGAAGCATAACTCAAAGTTGAGTTACCTCAACGGCGAAATATTTTAGCTATAAGGGAATTTTATACTCGATTTACATCAGCTATTCCAAGTTGTACGAATTAATTTATTTCTTTAACCCTTTGCAATCGAGAGGCGACTTTCAGTCGCCATTTAATCAGATTCTAAAGATCGATATTAATTAATATATCAAATCTAAAATTATCCAACGATGCGTGGAATGTCGACGTAAAATAACTCTACGTCTTAATTTGCATACGATTTATTATTTACCGTTTTGAAAATATCGTCGACTTTATGGCAGTAAGTCTTCGAATTATAATTTTTCTGTGGCGATTACAATTAATTAATTATCATCGAGTTAATTAAAAAGCATCGAGCACTTACCTTGGCACGTTTGCTATACTTGAGATATTGGTAATGGTGATTGTCATAGTTGAAGACATGTGGAGTCAGCGTAATGTCACGGTTCTGCATCTTGCCGGAAAGCGCCTTCTGTCGTTGCAGCTGCATCTTCTTGTTGTGTGCACGTAAATCAGCCGCTGGAAAATTTGATTCACGATTAACATTCTCTGATTCTCTGACACAGCGAATATAAATCCTCTAAACTACGTTCGAAAATCACTCGGCCGATTGTAAATCACATTTCCAGTTTCGATAGCCTTTCCTCCTCATCATCGTCCTATACCCTTCCATTTTTATCTCGTGTCCCTTCTTGCATATGTATCACGAATATATTTTGGACGCACTGTATGGTAATTTTAATCCACAGAGTTTCATACATTATTTTTCCACGGAATATGCAAAATTCTCCGATTATCCATGTGACAAAAAAAAAAGAAAAAAAAGAAACAAATGATTTAGCATTACGGAAAGATACGTGGGTGTAATAAAGTAAAAAAACGACGTCAGGCATGGTCGAACGAGCAGCAGGAAGCTCATTAATCGCGTGTAAATAAATGAACATTTGCATTCGACAGAGGCAGACGAGCTTTTCGATGATTTTTAAACAAACGCGACGACACTGGCCACCGCGACGCGATAAAACTCGATTGTCGACGGTTACACGGCCGTTTCCGAATATTTTATGCCTCGTCCGCCGTGGCTTTATCAGTCGACCTGCGTTTATTTACGTCGCCATTAACTGGCAATGCTGTTTTTCATTTCCGGATGAAAAAGGATGGAAAAAGAAAAAAAGGAGAATAAAAAGAAAAGCGAATATATTCGAGAATATCTTAGTAAAAACTAAATAGTGAAGTAAACTTTACATCCTAGCAATATGGGGATGATCCCTTACCCTGCGTTTTGTCTTTTGTCTTTCAGTTTCTGAAGACATCTTGTGACCTGCATGGCCCTAAACTAGCCAGTTCTAACCGTTCGCCCGTTTAATAAAGATCTATACAGTTTTTCCAGCCTTTCCACTGACTACTATTCCTTTGCCTTATAATCCCTTAACATATATGGTCGTTGTGAAATATTCCGAAATTTTTCGTCGATACTCGCAATAAATTCACGAGGATTCTTCATTCGAATGGAGAATGTATCGAGTACACGGAGTCAGTTATGCAGTTAGATCGACGCTGACAGACGTCTCGACTTCCGGTTCCAGAGCAGATATCACCGAGCCATAAATTCGCATTTCCTTGAACAATATCACGATAATCTATTACTTCGGCGAAATATGCAAGTTCTTCCTTTCGATTATCTCCAAACTGTTCGCGTACCTGCACAGACTTTGATGGACTACGGAGTTTCCGGTTGGCGGACCGACGTGTTCAGGAATTTCATCGAATTTTCCATCGCGCGTGCCAAACTTGCACGAATATTAATAAATCAAATTGAAGACCATACGGTCTTATTTAATATTTCAATATTCAATACGCTATCGATAGGATTGCTGAAACTGAATCCCATTATTAAAATTGTCTCTGAGATTTAGCGTGCGATTTGAATATCTGCCTGTGCTAGCTTTTTGAATATTTAAGAAGCATCGATTATCGGCACGTGTACAATTATTCCGGAACTTTGCAAATACTTTTTGAAAGTGTCTTTAGAGTAACAGGTTGTACAATTTTCTCACCTATCAAAATTCCTATTCTTAACACTAGATTGACGGGTTTATATATACATACATAGAAAAATTTTAAATAATTATTTTTAAAACATATGTTGGTTTTTCATAGAATTATAAAATGTATACAAATACTAATTCCCTTCTCTTCCCACTCTTTGGTTCCAAAAATCCATATGTGCTATACCTATTTTGACGAATGTGAGTCAAATTGACTCATTAAATATTATACAAACTCATGAATATATACGTAAAAATTGTTTTGAATAAAATTTTATTTTTTTTTTTAAAAACTCATTTCGGGCAAAATAGGTATATACCCAACCTCCGGCAATCTAGTGTTAAGCACGGAATGACACGAAAATTAAAAGATCAATTAACACTAGAATAACCAATCTGTAATGTATACCCAAATATAACACATGCAATTGGTATTAACCCTTTGACTACTGTGGGCTCTTAAATGCGCTCAAAAATTTCTTTGACTGTTAAATTCCAAGTATATACAGTAATAATTTACTGCACAATACAAAGAAATACATAATGTTGTTTTAACCCTTTGCACTCGACGATTTTTTGGCTAAAAAGGGATAGGAGTTCAAATATTTTCTACTATAGAACTGACGATATATTTTTGAGCAGTAAATAAAAAATTTATAATAATTAACACGTAGAATTATTTGATTTCAGTACCTCTCACACCGTTACACTATCTTAAATTTGACATATTAATTAATATCGATGTTCGAAATTTTATCAAACGGCGACTGAAGGAAAGGGTTAATACGTGGAATACAGTATTTCGATTATTATTTGAATATGCAATAATTGCTCAGAAATGCACACCTAACAAAAAGTTTCAACGTATTCGGTATACATTGCAAATGGATTCCTACTGTATGATACGACTGGTGCGTTTCAAAGTCTGCCGTAATTAAAGAGTTAATTAATATGATACAATAAAAATGAAAAGAGCAGACGCAATTGTGAGGCTATTTCAACAAAAATCAGGATAATTTTTCCCAAAAGCAGCTGCATATTTTCAACAATAAGAAATATTAGAATGGACCAATTATATTTTCACCAGCATCGTGAGATGTTGAAATAACGTAAACAATTGCGAATATTCCAGCCAATTATACGATATCCAGCTAGCTCGCAACAGGAAGATAGGAATCGGAAGATCCTCGAGTTTCGATTCGTTCTTGCAGCATCGCGAATCCATGAGGCCTCGTACGCTTTAACAGCGACATTATTGTTCTAACAGGCAATTATGAATATTCATGGTGGACATGTTTGTCCTCGGGTGCAGCGGAGAGACGCAAACACAGCCCCACTGTTAAACCGACTATGCGCGGCCGCCTATGAATAAACTAACGAATTAATTTCACGTGTAAAATCAGAAAACGTCGCTGTGAATTCGAGATTACGAACGGTTCGTTAGGGTAATTAACCGTACTCCTCGCGCGTGACATTCGCGAAGCGTGACTGGGAAAAAGTATCGCGATTCGTTCGCGAAACGCAAAAGCGACGGAATTTCGCGAAAATTTCGCGGTGATCAATTACACGCGCAAACGAAGTCTGCGAGTAACGCGAAAATTCGTTACAAGAAGTTCCGCGAAATCTAGAGTACGTGGCACGAGATTCGCGAAGCGATTCTTCCGGAAAATTCGCGAACTTCCGGGACACGAGCTGAGTGCAATCTGGAGTACAACTGTAGCTGTTTTGTACAGGGTGTCCCGTTTACACCCTGCTAAATATCTCCTACAATTATAATAACACAAGAAAATAATTTTATTGCAGGTTTATTTTAATTTTCAAAATTAAGAGTCAGTTTCAGGACGTCATATGAATTTTGACATCAGTTACACGATCCACTTTAAAAACTTTGAGAAAGATGGTCCAAAATTTTTTTTCAAGCAACATAATAGTCTCTTCGTATTTACTATTTAAATTACGTATCAAATATTTCTTGTGTCACTATAATCGCAGGAGATATTTAAGTAGGACACCCTGTATGTGAGTCAAAGTGATAAATTCAACTCAAAAAGTTTTAATATCAAGCTGCTTTTTTTGTCCAATATAAATATCTCTAAATATCTCCTACAATTATAATAATACAAGAAAATAATTTTATTGCAGGTTTATTATAAATTTCAAAATTAAGAGTCGGTTTCAGGACAATGTCATATATATTTTGACATCATCTACATGTTGCATTTTAAAAACTTCGAGAAAAATGGTACAAAAATTCTTCTTGAAGCAACATTAGCCTTGTTCGTATTTACTATTTAAATTACATATCAAATATTTCTTGTGTCACTATAATCATAATCGCAGGAGATACCTAGGTGGGACATCCTGTATCTGAGTCAAAATGATAAATTCCGCTAAAAAAGTTTTAATACCGTACTTTTTTTGTCCAGTATGAGAAAAGGAATCTCTTGCTATATGAGATCGTGAATGAGAATCCCCTAACGTAATTTCTCCCAAATAAATAAAATATAAAATACACAGAGAAATAGCACAGCGTTGAAATCGTTAGACGAGGAATAATCCGAAATTGTCGAAGATTTTCCATACACGGGAAAATTTGTTTCGGGAAATCGATCGTGGAAGAATGCGTCCACAGAACGCCTTGGTGTCGATATCGATACCGATATATCGACTCTGGATCTCGATCCGCCACGAAGCAGCGTCGTTGAACCATTAATTCGCCCGTGAAAAGCTGTCCGCGATAAATCAAACCGGCTTTCCGGATAATAAATCGAGTTTGCTTGGCCTGTATTTCGCGTTTCGCTATCCTTTATGTATCCACTTTTGCGCAACATCGCGGACGAGGGTTCGTTTCGTTATGCTAATTCGATTCCCATGGCGAACGATCGGGGAAAGAAGTTGGCCGGGCGTAATGAAATCGCTGATAGAGGATGAAATCCGAAGTGTTCGCGGTATTTGTCGGATATTTTAAAACGGCTTCAACGCCAAGTCGACCCGGATACCGGGCTGCACGCGAAGAAAGGGTGTCGAGGGTGAATTGCGGCACGCGAGCACCTTCAAGGCTGAAAGAATTGTAAAATTTCTCTGCTCCAGACTTCGCGGAAATCCAATTTAACTGTTACTTTATCTCGAAGGGAAGTACCATATAAACTCCAGCGTGGCCGAAAATTTCGCGTTAACCTGGACATATTTTCCAGCAGGATCTCCGAGAGGGTGCTGCAGCACGTAAATCGCCACACGCGATTCTCTTCAAGGCTGAAACAGCCATAACGTTCTTTTATATTAAGTTCCACTGACGTCTCTAACCCCGCGTCGCTGAGCTTTTCTATTCACCTCTGTGCCACTCAATTATGTCTTTCCATTTGATTTCACACTGGAGATCAATGGAATTATATATATGTGGATCCTTTATTTTATTTTTACTCGCATTTTCAAGTGCAAACAAGGAGGAGTTGCATTGCAAAGTGCATTTCTTGGCGAATTAATTTTACGATGTAATTAAAAAGAGGGATGCAGGTACATAGTTAATTTCGAATATTTTCGTCACCGAAATTTACTAACAGAAATTATGTTCATTCAAAATAGTATTCAGGATTAAAGATTCGAAAGATATTCTATGAGAAAAGTTACAAAATTAATGAATAAAGCACTCATTCCACTGTGTTTTTGACTCTATAATAGGTAAAAGGAATTACTAGAAAGACACATAGTGAAATATAGTGGAACGTCGATTATGCGAATTTTCATTATCCGAATATTAACATTATGCATTTAATTTACATCTAATTTACTTTTCCCCGAATTTTTCTTACCAAATACCCACTCTTCCAAGTGCAAAGAATTTACAGTTCAAAAATTTTTTATTTATATTTAATTCCTGACATAACTCGAAATTTTCTCCTTCCAAACCGATTATCCGAATATCCCATTATCCGGGCAGATTTTCGTACCAATTAATTCGCATAATCGATACTCTGCTGTCTCATTATCTTGTTACCTCTTTGTCAGAGCTTCGTTCGAATACAACAAAGGAAAATTTGCTAAAAAATTTCATCTCGTCTGCAATATTCTCGATTTTAAATATTCATCATTGGTGGTGTTTCGCGAATGGAAAAGATCCGCGTGAGTGTCACCACTGTCTCCTCTTTTTAATTCATTCGTATTAATTTTCCAAGTCGTTTGCAACTAGAAGGCTTCTTCACGCGACATGGAATCGGCCGACGTCGGTTGCAAGCCTTCGGGAAACGTTTCCGCGAGGAAATACACGCGATCCTCACCTTTGCAGGGGCAGAAGCCTTTGCAGGCGATGCGAACTGACGTGTGGTGGATGCAATTGTGGTATTCCAGTCGGCATGGCGAGCTGTACGTGCGATTATCGCTTCCGCAAAGGAACGTCGGCTTCACCACAGGACATTCTTGACATCTGGAACAAAAGCGGGACGCGCGCGCGTCGTTAAATGAAACTGTTCTGCGCGCAACGCTTTAATTGCTCGAGCGCATTTCCCTGCTATTTTCTCCCCGTTCTCCATTTCCATAACTTTGTTTCCACCACACGAAGTGGACGGTATTAAAATACCGCGGGCCCAGTTCCCAACGCGCGGCTTACCCACATTTCCAGTCCCTCTCTTTCGCCACTTTATCGATCTTCCTTGTTTCCACGAACTTTCGTTAATGACCAGAGAATCGTCATATCCGCCATCTTGATTAACGTTACGGACCCCTAAACCGCTAATTTTAATTATGCTCGCGTCTCTTTCTCGCCTCGTTATCTTGCTTCGATTCTCTTACGCATTTCAAATTTCGCGGTTCTAATTGTGACGCCATCTTTATTTATTTTATTTTATTATTTTTATTTTATTTCTATTTTAATTATTTTTCATTGAGCCTCGGTGGTAAGTGTTTATCGTTTATTAAGCGTTTATTTCTATTTATTTTAGCGAGATAAATTCTTTGCGTGGGTATTTAACGTAGGTATTGATCGTGATCTGTTTTGAGGTTATGTTAGCCCGCGGAAGTTTAAAATAGGAAAGTACATTGCAGTATTAATCTCAATGGTTAATCGATTGTCGGAGTATCGAAGGGATTATTTATCAAGGGAATTACCCAACGAAACGACGCTTATTCGATTGATACGATTAATAGAATTGTAAGCGGAATATTCGAGGGGTTTCGACGCTAAGCGATTAATTCGCAATTGTCGATCTTCATCGCTGAAGAACGATGGTTCGAAGGAGAGAAAGATTACTGTCGGACAAATTTTCTGCAAAACAAACTCGTCCCGATTTCACCACCTTTTATTACGCGATAGGATAAAAGCTGATTACGAGATTTTTCATTAGAGGAGCTTTATTAAAAGAGAGGTAAACTCAGTCGTTACTTCGGGCAGTATTGTTTTTCGTCGCATAATAAATGGTAATTAAAGGATTCCGTGTATCGCGGTCTCGTAATTTCGTCGTAATAGAGGATCTCTATTAAAAGAAATAAATTTCGCCGTTAACCTCGCGGTGTATCGTTATTATATAACGTAATAACGTCGATAAAGCGCGGCGGGCAGGATAAAGCAGGCGGAGGGGTTTGTTCTTTGTCAAAATTCCCCGTCGTACACGACTGGAAAAATTCCAGAATTTCCGTAACACACGGAGCTTCATAATCGTTAAGCACTGCATCGTCGTAACGCGAAATTACCAGGCTGCAAGGTTGGCGCGCCTGGCTGCGCGCACCGAGCGCAACAATGTTGCACGTCCTGCGAAAAGGGTGTCTCGTAAACTGAAATACTATTATAATGCGTTTAGTGCTCGCACGGCCGGCCATGTTAATTATAATTTTATAATATTACTTCCTGCATATATTACACGCGGCCATTAAATTTACCTGTTTAGAATTCTCTTAACGCGGCCGCGAAAAATGTTCACCGACAACGGGAACCAGTGGAAAACGCGATGGAAAACGCGATAACGGATGAAGGAGAACCGCAAGAAGGATACTGCAAACGTATAACGCCGTCGTTACACGGCGAATATTCCCGTACTGGGTTTCGATAACGAGAGTATTCTCATGGTCGAAATTGAGTATCACGGAGAATTAGGTAACGCGTGAGCCCAATAAGGGATGATTTTGGTACTAGAGATTGATGGTAGAGAAGTAAATGTTTTTAGTTTGACGGATTTTATGGTGTAAGGGACTGGATGCCAATTTTTGCACATTTTCTTTTGAGATACACAGTTATCGTTAATAAATTGTTTGCCTCTCCCTATTTTTAATTTTAATTTTAATTTTAATATCTAATATATTCCAATTTTCCTAAGTCAATAAAAATTGTTATTTTTCTGAATTTATGGCTTGGGCCACTTTTATAATTACTGGCACATGTGTATATATTTTTGAATTTCCATCAGTAAATGTAGATATTTTATGTATAGTACTTTGGAAAATTAATTGGAAGCTTCCAAAAATTATTCTCGGCTCTACAGTCTCTTCTTTCTATTTTTAATTTATCTGATATATCCTAACAAATACATAAATATTTAATTTATCTGATATATCCTAATAAATATACCTGATATATCCTAATTTTCTTAAGGCAATAAAATTGTTATTTTTCTGAATTTATGACTTAGGCACATGTGCATGTATTTTCCAACTTCTGTCAATAGACCTAGGTATTTTGTTATATACAGTACTTTGGAAAATTAATTGGAAGCTTTCAAAAATTACTTCTTCATACTTTAGGCAAATATATGTCAAGTACTAATTAAATTTTCAGAGCATAATAAATAATAGCCAAATTAATGAAGTCTTTCGAACATTATTCCATTGCAAAAGCAGCCATGTGTTTAGTAACAGATCACTACACAGATCCACATATTTCCAACCCCAGCTCTTCATCGCGATCTTCTCCATATCCATCCAATTATTCCAGCTCCCCAACCCCTGTCCCAATTACGGCAATTTTCTCCAAATATAATACTTAAAGACACTACCCCTACAAATGGCCAGATACTCCAATCTTCTCCCTCATTCCACGACTCTCTTGTAACCACCCAATCGATCAAGCGAAATGTCTCTGCCCCTTCTTCCAGCCATAAATTCACATCTCTTTTCCACGGAACCGGTAACCTCTAATGGCTACTCAGTCTCTTCATCACCCGACCTCGTTCACCAAGATGGAAGAAACGCTTTCTCAGCCGACGTCAGCTCGAATCCTCGAACCGACTGCTCGATTAACCGACTCGAATCAACAGTTGCAGTACGTGGGCTACAACAACGAATGGGTGGAAACGGCCCTGTGCAGAATTACGAGCGGTTATGGCGGCATAATAAAGAAGGGTCCCTCTGCGGATTCGGCCACAATGCCGGCCCGCTAGCTTGCGCCTCGAGAATTTGTGGTTGCCGGCAAACGCGTAATTAGTTTAAACCGAGTAACGCGGTAATTAAGCCGGTTTAGCTCCTTTATCAAGACGAGGCCTGCGGCTTGTCGACCTCGCCGTTTCGTCGTCCACGAGAATTCGCCTCGAGACTTTGGAACGGTGACCAAGGAGGGCTGTAGCTGCACCTTTCGGGCTGAAGGGTCGTTTGATGAAGAGGCCGGCCCGGTTCGCGGTGTTTTTAATAGTTAATTAATTTTAATAGTCCCCCATTGGTTAGATAAATGTTGCATCTCGTTGCTGGAGATTTTTTAGTAGTATTCGTGGTTGTTACGGAGGCTGGCTGAGATTGTAATTGACCTCTTCTACTGTAATTTATTTGGGCGTACAATTTAATTCTTCCAAGTTTTATGGAGCAGGGATTGGCATAGTAGATTATAGGTTTGATATTTGTACAATTTATTTCGTGCTTTAATTGAACTGTTGAATGCAGGGAGAACCTACGAGATAAAATGGCGTTTCGGAAAACGTGTCTTTATATATTTCTTACACTTATAATCTTATGCTTTATTGCTTTAATATTGCTAGAATTAGAAATATTGGAATGAAGTTTGGAAGACATAATTAGAGTTCGATGACACGAGATCTGTATTTCATTGAACAGTTTAATCGACTTTATTTAACACGTTAAGTCCCCAAGGACCGCCCAGACTAGGATCTGACTAGATGCTAACTTTTGGTGTTAAATTCTTAGCTATTTTTGGATCTAACGTTTGGGAATTCCTGTTATAATAATTAGTACAGTATCTCTGAGTTTTGGGCCACCGTGGGCTCACTTGACGGCCGAGTCTGGGCCTGAACGGAACGGCAAGCAAAACGGGCTGGGCACTTGTTAACTTCTTATGATTAAAAATTGATGCATCCATATTCAGGTAGATATATAATTGAACGTAAAATTGTTAGATGATCTACATATGTAGACCTTTGCATGAGTTAAACAGCAGAATCCATTCATATCTTGTACACTCTTGCTTATGTACATATGATCGCTGTACCATATTTGATTTTCAACCCAGTGAATTGATATAATACCTCCTAAAATATCGTGATTACGAAGATCGGTAATTATATAAAATCGGCAATGCAGACCTCGCAAAACTTCTTATTAATATCAAGCGAAGCATGATCAAATTTGAAATTGTTAATAATCCAACGAAGGGAAGAATAGAGAATAGCTGCTTCTATTTCACAGACCGAATCCAAAATTCCCTTTAAATTCGCGAAGCGAAAAATATTACCTATCAATTATTCCATCGGCTCGATAACGTCCGAGTCGATTGGTTACGTAATCTCGACGCCTGCTTCCGGTAGCGAATTAATTCCACGCGTGCATCCGATTGCATCCGTGCAATTTCGTTCGCTCGATGAAACGAAACCACCGATCGTGATTAATCGACCGTCGTTACAGATTGTTAATCGACGATTTAATCCGCGGTTTCGTCCTCTTTCCCCCTCGGTTTCCCGCCCGTCGCACATTTTTTCCGTGTCCGGTTTTCCCCATAGTCGTTCCATCGTGCGGACACTCGGCGCGAAAATTTCCCTCCGCGTTAAGGAAGAAAATTACCCGGTGCACCCTCCTCTCGTCGACTCATCCCCTCAACGAGTCACGCGCGATGAATTTCGCGGTGGAAGAATCTTCGCGATCTCCTTCCGTGCCAGCACGCAATTTTCCCGGAGACGGGAACTTCTCCGAGAACAAAGAAAATTCGAATCGAATTTCGTTGATATTTATGTAAACTACTGCTTCGCTTCCTTCGCTGCGAACACTCCCCAACTTCCGTCTCCGTTCGAATATTTAAATTTCAAGCAACTCTTGCCTACTTGCCGGATATTCCGCTTTCTTTCGCTCTGTCTTCCACGGCGACCGCGTCCTTTCTAAATACCCGGTGCTTAAGAAACGCAGAACGAAAAAGAGTACGAGATTGCGGGAGAAGAAGGTCGCAGCTCCTTAGAAGGGTGGAGAATGCCACTGGAGAAGATGGAGACCGAGGAAAAAGCA